ATATACATAATAGGTAATTATACGACGATAGACGATTAAGTTATTTTATCAAGTGCCCTTGCTTTGTATTATACGAAATACATTTAAAAAAAGTACATAACGAGAGAATAGTGTCGCGTATAATTGAGGAAAACCGAGTACCGCAGCTTTTTTGGGAGTAAATTAAGAAAGATGATTGAGAGATTGAGAGAGTTGTTGAAAGAGAAAAACTGTTGTAAGTTTGTTGGTAACAAATGTGGGCACCGGATACCGAGAATGAATCGTATGTTTCGATACCCACACAATCGTGATTGGTGAAAAAAAACTAAATAATGAATGGTCAGAGGAGAATACAATTACAAGTCTGAACAGAGAGATAGTCTTACTCTAATTAGATCCAATTGATCCAGTTGCTTTCTTTCTGATTTTTAATAGCCGCAACCACAACCAATAATTCCCTGATTACCTACTTCTTGTTATCCTTGTTATTCCTTTCGACGATTTAGTGAAAAAAAAAATGCAAACTGAAGAAAGTATTAGAAATTGTATTATATTTAGATTGTCCCTTGATAAAATCCTTGCTGCTTCTTCATACATGAATCTTGATATACGCGAGAACGTACTGATGAAAGTTTTGAGTAGTCAATTTTTAGAAAACGAGGAAAACTACCTACCTTCGAAATTTAAATAGTTCTCTACCAGTGCTAATGAAAGAATTTTTTTTTAATCGTCCCCTTATTGAGAAACACAAAACAGGAATTGCGTCGAGGATGTATGGTGAACGTTATAGCAATAAATTAACGTGAATATTTGTGTATAATTCAAAGTTAGTAAAAGAAAAGCTTATTAATTATTAAATATTGAAAACTTATTAAATATTGAATCGTATGTACAGTGTGTATACATTTTCCTATATGCAAGTAAATGAGCAAAAGTATTCGAGTAAACGCAGACCTTTTGATTTTGTCTGTTACTCGAAAATTTCGAAGGGAACAATTTCTGATTTCTAGAAATTACGTATGTGCGCTAGTGAATAACGCGTATTTGCATATGAATCAGTTCCACATATGTATACGTAAGTATGAAGTATGGAGGGTACTCGTTGGATACAGATTCCCAGAATCCTAATCGATTCGTCAATCTCATCGAATTGTCAGTCGCTATTGCTGGCGCAGTCGGCGATGCACCCTGCTGCCCCTTTTAAAAGGATACGCTTCGCCCATTGTGGATGTGTAAAAGGATGCAAGATTGGCAGGTGGTAGTCAGTGTACCAGGGGTGACAGTGACACACCAATTGACATTGACTAACAATAAGTGCTGGCGGTACAATGGCGAGTGGTTTTTGAAATCAGTGTCGAGCTCCCATCTGCACGACTCGAACCATTTCGGTCAACCACTTTCCTAAGACTAAAATACTCGGTTAATTAAGAAAATTTTCATTCCAAGTCTAATGATTCCTTTCCGTATGACAAGTAATAAATAATTAATGTTAAAAGTGACAAATACATACTTTGAATTCCCTTCCCTTAAGAATAACAGATAATTAAATTATAAATAAGTCGCATACTAAAATTCTAATATTCTTTTACTGACTTAGTTATTAAATAATATTGCAGTGAAATATTTATATTTATTTGTTTAATTAAATATCAGGGATGTCTATTTGAGATTGTACTCATGTTAAAAGCAATGTGCAATCTGTATCACATTTAACTGTAACTGTCAGTGACGGTAAAACACGGTTCGGTGAACGGGTTCGGTAGCGCAATTCATGGGAATAGAAAAATGCAGATACGCCGTTGTTTCGTAAGATCGTAACACACAACACAAGTAAATATCTACGTGCATATATGCAAGCGAAGCACGCGATAGATATGTACCTGTACTTACATGCAGGAGTACTTTCTATCGCGGCGCTGGGAAAATATGTATAAACGCGATCCGCTTAGGACTCGGCAGATGAGAATTGGTCACGAGCTCCGAGCAAGGCAGGTGTTAATCTGGCTCCTGCATTAATCATACGTTGTTCACGATTTTATCTGTTACTAGTAGATAGTATATTGTCTTCGTAATTTGTTCCTTATTAATCAGATCTCTTAATTAATCAATTAATAGAGAAATCAGTGAGACGAGGGAAGGAGAAGGAAAATCTGAGATACTTGTTCGTCTTCCTATAGTAACGGAATTGCTCCACTTAAAATTACATCATATAGAATGTAACATTACGTAGCTCGTTTCTTTGATTTCCGAAGTTAAATTGGAATAAATTATTTCATTTGCAGACATTTTATATTTATGGATAATATTAATATTAAATATTTAAGATTTATGAATAGATTGTAGAAAAATATTTAACTAATCTTTGCATCATCTAACTATGTCTTCAATATACTATGTAATTTCGAATAGAAAATTATTCCGTAGTAGATTTTATCTACGTGTACGATTGCTAACATTTTTTCCGGCAGACAGAAACGTTCCCTTCAATTTCAATGCCACGCATAATCTGCACTACACCGATGAAATCTTTACTATATCATGAAGACACGCTACTTATGTCATTTTGCCGCAATAACCGCAGATATACATGCGTTGCAGTTAACAGCATATGAAATAGAGATTATTAACGACTGCCTTCGGTGATCGATATTGTGGGTCAATGACGATTAACCAACCAGCAGCCCTCGGCTGTGAATTAAACTTATTTCCACTTAACATAATTCGAATATTTTTCAAAAATATATATTTCACGCTAATCTATACTTTGTCATTATTTAATATTGTAAAATAGATGTACTACGCGACTATAAAATATCACTATAATTTGCACTAAACATAATTCGAATGTTTTTCAAAAATATTTTGAACTGTCGTGAAAACAGAAATGGTGTTATTTAAATTACTTAAAAATTTTAATCATTATTTTTCATGCTATCGAGCCTATTCTTTGAACGATAAATTGCACCACTCGGTAAAATACAATCGAATTTATAATCTTATTACTACATGTATGTTCAATCAGCATTGTAAACGGATGTACGAAACAGAAAGGGAAAGAATTAGGAAGAAGATAGAGAAGAGATACATATAGGCGCACAGATAGAGTTATCTCACACAATTTAGTGAAAGTACTAAACTCGAATCACGTGCTTCTACTCCTCTCGGATTTAGGTAGGTATATCACCAAGTGAACCATCGCGGACGGCTTCAGTATCATCTTCGACTACCCCTTCACTTTTAGCCCGAAGTATGTTCCTAGTGTCATTTCACTTGCTTAGTTATCGTTACAGTGATTGATCGTGTGACGACTTCATTTTTAATTATTTTTAATTAATTACTTTACTTTTACAAATTTTCCGACTGAATTTATTCCTTTGATGTGTGAAGTTAAAGTGAAAAAACGAAAGATGAAGTGGTAAGGAAGTAGTTACGTGGTTTGCATAATCTGTTATATCGGAAATTGAATTAAATAAAATGAAACCTTTTTAACGAAATCTTAAAAAATATAATATAAAGAAAGGAAGAACTCGCATTCCCGGTACAATGAAGGCGATTATTGGAATAGAATTACGATTAATTCTTATTGCCGTATTTCTTTTAATTTCTGCCGTCGCAGAGAAGGTAAATATATTCATTATAGCGTAGCATAGATCAAATCGTAATAACGTATAATTTGATATATTGTAATATAAAATTCCTGCTAATGAGATGAGAATGGAGCGAACCTTTCCTCATTCTTAAACAGACATAGGAAGTATTCCTCAAATGTAGATATGTTCCTAAACGTGGGAAATGTACTTTCCAATCCAAGATTTAACATTGTTTTTCTGTTTACATAAACTTCTTCTTTGGGCATGTAAAAACAGATCGATGTTATCTATTTTATACCACGTATTTCTTTACGAGTCTTTTCAGAAATCAGGATTAGAAATTGAAACAGGTAGTTTATGGTTGCAGCGAAAACGGCAGATATTCAGGGAACAGGTATTGCCGGCATTGGGCGGGAAGATACCGGAAGAGGCTTTCAGAATGGATCGTTTAGCTCTGAATCGTTTGAACAAAGACGGAATCACGGTACCCGACGGAATAACTTACCACGCTCGAAACATGCACAGCCATAATCAACGTGTCCAAACGATGCCGGAGATAATAAAAGTAATGCCGTTCCGTCTTTATGGTCCTTACATCAGTTTGATACAAACGATTTCGCAATCTGTCGCTTCTACTGTTCTTCCAATATTTCTGAGGATTTTACGATCGCGATTAAAAATAATATTGTTTTTTATCCCGAAGGTATCTGTAACACCGGATGGACGTTATATTACTCCGGAGAACAAATTTCATCATCACTATAATCGAGCGAACACTATCGACACTACTTACGTTATACGCGCACCGTATTCGCGATTCAATAACCATAAACAAAGAAAGGAAGAACTCGCATTCCCGGTACAATGAAGGCGATTATTGGAATAGAATTACGATTAATTCTTATTGCCGTATTTCTTTTAATTTCTGCCGTCGCAGAGAAGGTAAATATATTCATTATAGCGTAGCATAGATCAAATCGTAATAACGTATAATTTGATATATTGTAATATAAAATTCCTGCTAATGAGATGAGAATGGAGCGAACCTTTCCTCATTCTTAAACAGACATAGGAAGTATTCCTCAAATGTAGATATGTTCCTAAACGTGGGAAATGTACTTTCCAATCCAAGATTTAACATTGTTTTTCTGTTTACATAAACTTCTTCTTTGGGCATGTAAAAACAGATCGATGTTATCTATTTTATACCACGTATTTCTTTACGAGTCTTTTCAGAAATCAGGATTAGAAATTGAAACAGGTAGTTTATGGTTGCAGCGAAAACGGCAGATATTCAGGGAACAGGTATTGCCGGCATTGGGCGGGAAGATACCGGAAGAGGCTTTCAGAATGGATCGTTTAGCTCTGAATCGTTTGAACAAAGACGGAATCACGGTACCCGACGGAATAACTTACCACGCTCGAAACATGCACAGCCATAATCAACGTGTCCAAACGATGCCGGAGATAATAAAAGTAATGCCGTTCCGTCTTTATGGTCCTTACATCAGTTTGATACAAACGATTTCGCAATCTGTCGCTTCTACTGTTCTTCCAATATTTCTGAGGATTTTACGATCGCGATTAAAAATAATATTGTTTTTTATCCCGAAGGTATCTGTAACACCGGATGGACGTTATATTACTCCGGAGAACAAATTTCATCATCACTATAATCGAGCGAACACTATCGACACTACTTACGTTATACGCGCACCGTATTCGCGATTCAATAACCATAAACATCACACAGACAGTAATTACTTTGGAAAGGAAAATCGTGATTTTTCGAACAAACAAGTATTCGGAACAACAAACAACTTCGCGAATTTCAGGTAAAGAGCCTTTTACATTTCACGGATATGATTAGGCGATAATGCATGAGCTTTAATTAATTTTAGACAATTTCTACCGATAATACCACCATCGAAACCGGGCATTTATAAGTCTATCGTGGCACCTATACTTCCTGTACTTCCGGTTAATACCGAGTTCCTTGGAGGTAGCTACATATCACCGTCGTGGAATTACGAATGGAATCCAGTTTATCAACCGTTCAACGATTACATCGTGGGTGACATCGCGTTCTTTAACGCCCATCAGGTAGTTTTTCTTCTACTTACATAGAATAAGGTCGGCTGTAGAACTATCTAATATGCGGCCGCTCACCTGCGCAAGGTCCAATTGAAAGGCTCATTTTTACGACTTGACGAAAAATATACAAACCGATAAATCGCGTAAACGAATGCTGGGGCGCAGTTTATCCACTTTTCAATGGAGAAGATTCTGTTAATCTCGGAAATGCCAACGACGGTTCCATTCATGTTTCAAATGCCAAGTGTTTGAAACTTGAAATTCTAAAATATTTATGAAATTGCACTCCACGTACCATTGTGAGACATGGGATTCTAGCAAGACTGTCCGCGCGAGGCTTTTAGTTCTTCAGGTCCTTCAATGCACGCATTATAAAAATGACACTTTTAAGGATGTATTGGCTATA